ACACTCTACCGAGTGCGCCACCGGGCCGGCCTGTAAGAAATAAATTTTAAAAATAAGACCTGACAGAACTTTCCCCTCCACCAAAATAAAATATATTAGATTTTTTTGAAAATTGTCAGTGGGGAAATTCCATTTGCTTAAATTTATTTCTGGCCCATTAAAAATAGAAACAAAAGCTCAAGAACCTCCCAAAGCACTGGGACCTAAAACAGTAGTTTTTAACTTTGTGCATTGGACTCATCTGGGGAAACTTTAAAAATTTTCACGACTAGGCTGCACTCCTAGAGGTTTGGAATTAATTGGTGTGGAGCGTGTCCTAGGTATCTAGAGTTTGAAAGACATCTCCAGGTGATGCTAATGTGCAGCCCAAGGTTGAGACCTTGTCCTAGAAGATTGTTAGCCAGAGGTAGAGAAAATGGTAGAAATGACTGTTGGGCTGGTTAAGTAAGCCAAGTGCTGGACGCCAGCAAGTTCTCCTGCTGGGATGGTGGTTTTTCTGGTATGTCTTTGAAAGATCCTTGCTCCCAAGATGAGACGCCAGATGCCTTCAGGAGCTGGTGGATCCAGCTGTCCTCTCTAGCCTGGAGGTTAAACTTGAGTGGGTGGGTAGGATCTCTGTCTGGTGTCCCTGGAGTCGGTGTGTTGGGACATATTGGCCACAGGCCCATTCCAAAATGGGGGTAGAGAGTCAGTTGGGAGCTAAGTGGGTTGTCCCCCTGAAAGCAGCCTCAGAAATTGTAGCCCCCACTTGCATATCTGAGCAGGAAAGGGGCACTGGATTTGTGAGGTTTGCCTCTGATCTGTTTTCTGACTGGGTAGATGAGGGACGCCCCAGCTCCTGCCCTGTCAGTAGCCAAACCAGCATCCTGGCTCACACCCTGGAGGCTCCAGAGGCTAGTTCACTGGCGAGTCTAATTCCTGGTCCATCCAGATCTTGGTGGTCCAGGGAGGCACAAATGTGGGCTCTTTGTTCCAATGAGGGACTTAATAGCCGGCAAAGGCTTGAAGCAAGGAGGAATTAAGCCCTCTTTGTGCTGTGTGTGTGTGTTAATGCATGAGCAAATTTAAACCCAAAAACTAACTCTAGATGTGATTGGAACAGGGAAAAGTTTTGTGTGGTCACTGTGCCAAGGAATTGACTTCGATCACCAGGCAGATCCAGGGTGACTTCTGTAGGGCTATGGTGGATTCTAGATGGAGGTGAGGAGCCATTGAGGACTTCAGTGCTGGTATCCTCCAGTCTTTCCTCCCAGACCCTGGCTCTTTCTTTGGGAACCAGGGCATCCCCCCTATGGAGACACTTCAGGCTAGGAAGACTGAGGCCTGTCCTCCCAAGGGGCCTCAAGTTAGAGGGCCATGTCCTCACCAGGTGATTTCAAGTACTGATCTCAGGGACCTCTCAGGTCCCGACATCCTGCTCTGAGTGTGCATGTGTGAATGGAGTGGGCGGCAGGAAGCAGGAGAGGCTGGAACCACGGGCCTGTCCTACTTGCACAGCAGGACAACACTGAAGCTCTTCTGCCATCCTCTCTGCTGTCCACCTGAGAAAATAGGCCACTTACTAGGAAGGTTTGTTTCCAAAAACGCAGACCCTGGTGAAGTGTGGTGCCACCGTACTCACCAGGCCCTGGATTTCCCATGACCTCGATGCTCCAACCTTGTAGCTCATTCTCTTTCCATTGTGACTGGAAAGTAGGGACATCTGCCCCAGAGCCACCAGTGGGGATGGCATCCCGGGCCACCTCTCCTGCAGGAGTGGGTGCTGTTGTCATTGGGGTGCCTGGCCTCCTGCTGGGACCGATCTGCTTTGCTGTGCTGCATAGGCCATGTTTTTGTCTGCATGGTTTGGGGTCTTTGTGCCTTTTCTTCCCTTTCACCACTGTACAGGATTTTCCACATTGCCCACTGCCCCCTTTTCTACATCTCATCTACGCTGGCCTTTCCCAAGCCCTATAAATGTGTACAAACAGTGTCCTACTTTGTATCCACGTGCCTCCACGTGAGACCTCCCAGGCCAGGCCTCCCGGGCACACGTATCCACAAGGATCAGGCCCTGCTTCCCTCCGCTCACTCAGCTTTGTAGATTTGGTAACTGTGTACAGAATCTTTATTGTCTTAAGTGTCAGGGGGCTAGGACCCACTTAGTCCCTTATCTAGCCTGCAGCTAGTTTAGAAGCCTTGCATCCCAGCAAAGGGTAACTTTGTGTAAAGCTACTTCTCCCACAAACCTCTTCCTGTGTTGATGTCAGTGTTCGGCTGAGGGAACCTTTTAACCTGGGTTGTCTCAGTCTGCAGCAGATACGTGCACCCCTGCTGCCCCTACAGGAGGCCCTGGCTGTGTGGCTCCCAGTGCTTGGCAATGGGCCTGGGTTTAAGGCCACCACATCTGGTGTCTAGAACAGCTGTGGACCCCCAACTAGGCAGATGGAAGAGGCTTTTTGCTACTTTCCCTGCCTGCTATTAACACCTGCCCAGCTCTTCCATGTCTCCACGTCTGCTGAAGGTGCTCAGACCAGAGTGCCATTAAATACCCAACTGGTGTCAGGACCTCAATGGGACAGTGCGTTGCCAAGGCCTTGCTCGCAGCCTGTTGGCTCCCTTCCTTCTAGCTCTTCCCCTTTCTTGGCTGGGTCTTCTGGGGCTCAGGTGGAATGAACTGCATGTGTGGCCTTGTGCCCAAGGGTTTGTTGGATGGCTTTTAACTCTAGGTGGGATTCAACTTGAGCTTTTTACCCCAGGAGCCTGTCTGGAAACAGGCTTAGGTTTAGAGCTGGGGTGGGACCTCCATTTGCAGGCCCCAGAGGGGAGAGCGTCAGGTGAGGCCCCAAGGCTGCGTCCCAGGCCCTGGATCTTCACCTCCAGCCTGCTTCCAACTGGAAAGGACCAGGCTCTGGGTGGCAGGCTCCTTTCAGGGCACTGTAATGTACACACCAAGGTGTAAATAAACAGTTTGCTCTTCTTGCCTGACTTGACTGCGAGTTTCTGTGTTTGGCGTTGAGAGGGCAGAAGAAGTGAGGCCTCTTCCAGGGCTCTTTGGGACAGTCAGTCTCCTTTAGGAAAAGCAGGCCCAGCCCAGTGTGCAATTCCCGGAGTATCCCCCAGGGGTAGGGTGGAGCAGGGGTCACCCTCCAGTTCCTTGTGTTAGCCTGCTGACCCTAGGGGAGAAGATGTGGATCCCAGAAGCCCCTCTAATGCCACCATCCCAGCCACAGGGCTGTGATGTTTGAAGACTCTCTCCTCACTGCAACCATGTTCTTTTTCAGCGAGGGCCTCCCGGGGGTCTGATGGGCTCTAAGTGCGACACTTCCTCCATGTCAGCCATGAAGACCACCCTGAGTCACAGGTCCAAGTCCTCCACTCCAGCCTGGTTTCAGACCTGCCACCACTAGTCTTTGCCACACCCTAAGGTACCAAGGTGACTCCAGGTTGGCTCACCCAGATCCCCAGATTTCTCCTGTTGGGCTGGGTCACAGACCCTTCAAACCTGTTGTGCAGACTGGGTCACAGACCCCTTGTTGGGCTGAGCTCACGTCCAAACAGACCCTTCAAACCTGTTGTGCAGACTGGGTCACAGACCCCTTGTTGGGCTGAGCTCACGTCCAAATAAAGCATGTCAACCTTGCCAGTGGCTCCCAGAATCTTTTTCCAACTACCTAGTTAATGACCTACATATGAGGGATCTAATAAAGCATGTCAACCTTGCCAGTGGCTCCCAGAATCTTTTTCCAACTACCTAGTTAATGATCTACATATGAGGGATCTGTGACCCAGTCTGCACAGGATTGGTTTGAAGGGTCTGTGACCCAGCCCAACATCTCCCCTCTCTGCCCCTTCCTGTTATTATACAATTTTAGGTATTAAAGGGGTGTCATAGGCCACCCAGGCCCAGCATCTTGGCTCAGACCCTCCAACTCCCAACACAGGTCCTGTGCTGTGGGTGGACAGACAGCTCCCCACTTGTTGGATTTACATGGTCTTTGGGGCTCATGGGAGTCACCTTCCAATACTGGGGGTTGTGTGTTTCTCTGGACCTTTATTCCCTCTTTTCCAATTAAATTTGCCAGATTCAGCAAATAAAAAAAATACAGGGGGCCGAGCCCGTGGCGCACTCGGGAGAGTGCGGCGCTGGGAGCGCAGCAGTGCTCCCGCCACGGGTTCAGATCCTATGTAGGGATGACCGGTGCACTCACAGCACTCACTGGCTGAGCGCGGTGCAGCCGGTCTCAAAAAGGACAAAAAAAAAAAAAAATACAGGATGCCCAGTTAAATCTGAATTTTAGATAATCCAATGAGCCTCATCTTAACTTGATTACGTCTGCAAAGATCCTAGTTCCAAATAAGGTCAAATTAAGAGGTACCAGGACTTAGGACTTCAATATATCTTTTTGCAGGGACACAGTTCAACTCACAACACCTGGTAAAGGAGGTTATTGGAAATTGCCTCAGTTTACCATTCTGGAAAGAGTTGAGAGCAAGCAACTCGTGTGTATAGCTTGTACCCTCTACACAGGCACGCTCCCCACTGACCAGTCTTGGAGAACATTTCTTGACAGTTCTTACTATTACAAATGACATTATCCCTACACCTCATAGAGGTCACAACACCCGCAAAGGTGTTTCATGGTTGATCCCAACAACTCAGCAGGCCCTCAATTAGAGGACCTTTTAGGATCATGGGCTGGGCCCAGGCCAAAGTCTCCTGAATGGTCAGAAATAACTGAGCACAGAAATCACTCAACCAACCACATAATGTACTAAGCACCACTGTGTGTGCCAAGCTCTGTGCCAGGCACTAGGGGTTGGTACAGGCAAGGCCTCTGTGCTCTGGGAGTCCCCTGGCTCCTGGAGGAGGGGAGAGACATAATGACTTACAGGGTGATGAGCAGCACCAAGGGGAAGGTCGGGGGGGCTTTGAGAGCTGCGGGCAAGGGGATAGAGCCCCGTCGGAGGTCAGGGACAGCTATCCCCAAGGAAGGGGCTTTTCAGTGGGGCCCTGAAGGATTGCAGTGTCTAAGGGAACCACACGAGGAGACTTGTAGAAAGCGCAGCCTTTCCAGGGTCCTGTGGCTGGGAGGTGGATGGAAAGGTGGGGGTGGGGAGGGTGCAGCCTGGTGGTCCAGGGGTGCATCTCTCATTCATCCTTTAAGCAAATGTTTCATAAACCCTACAGGATGGCCAGTGTATGGGGAGGTGCTGGACTTAACAATAGCAATCAAACAGACTTACTCTCCATCCTCACCTCACAGCGAGCTTCCAGAATCTACAAGAGAGGCTCTTAATCCCTGGCTGCATGTTGGAATCACCTGAGGGAGTTAAAACCACCGCGCCCAGCAATTCTGATTAGGTTGGTTGGTCAGGGGCGGGGCTTAGATGCTGGGATTTTTTTCAGGCCTCCCCAGGTGCTTCCGGTGTGTAGCCAGAGGTAAGACTCATTGGTGTTTAACAAGGGCACCTAGAACCACTTGAGGAGTCATGGGAGGTTTTACCTGAGACTTGGAGGAGGCGAAGGAGATAGCCCGGTAAGGAGATTGGAGAGGGGACAGGAGAGGAAAGGGCAGAACCGGGAAAGGGAACAGCAGGTACAAAGGTGTTCGGTGGGGAGGAAGTAAAAGCCAGATGGCACAACAGAGAGCAGGACTGTGGGGACCACTCTGAAGGACCGGAAGCCAGGGAGTGGCCTGGTCAGGTCTGAGTTTCAAAGTGGGGCAGCGAGAGATGAAGGCAGCCTGGACTGCCCTAACAGAATACCAGACTAGGAGGCGGAAACAGCACGTACTTGTTTTCTCACAGTCCTAGGTCCTGGAAGTCCAAGATCAAGGTGCCATTAGGGTTGGTTTCTGGTGAGGCCTCTCTCCTCTGCGTGAAGACAGCCACCTTCTCAGTGTGTGCTCACACGGCCTTTTCTCTGTGTGCACATAGAGATGCAGAGAGAGTTCTCTGGTGTTTCTCGGGAGGACACCAGTCTTATTGGATTAGAATCCTGCCCTTATCACCTCACTTAACCTTAATTACCTCCCCCAAGGCCTCATCTCCAAATACAGTCATATTGGGGATTAAGGCTTCAAGTTATGAATGGAAGGAGAGTGACAAAATGCAGTCCACAACAGGCGAGATTTCTTTTTCTTTTTGCTGTATGATAATGAGAAGTTAGAATCAGCAGGTTTTGGTGATCGTTTGGGTGAACCTCAGTGAACTCATGTCTCCAGAGGATGACTAAACTACACCCAAAGGTGGAAAAAGCCATTCTTGCAGCCCCTCACTTTCAAAACCAGGCTTCAGGCCAGAGCCTTCAGGATCAACAGCAGCAGCCGCGGACCCAGCAGCTGGGCTGCTCTGCGAGGGCCGAGGCACGTTCCTCCGGTTTGGTCAGTCCAGCTGATTGTCTGCTCTTTGGAGCCCTGGGGAAGCAGGATTTAGCACCATCCCTTCTTCTACCGCCCTCCCCTCCCCAATCCCTGTGCCTAATGCCATGCTTGGCCATGAGGTGGTTAACAATAGCTTACATTTATGTAGGGCTCGCTCTGCGCCAGGCAGTGTTCTAAGTGCTTCGCATGTGTTGCATCATCTAATGCTCACAACTTCCTGTGAGGTGGGTAGTCTGACAGGTGAGGAAACCGAGTCACCACAGCTGACCTCACTGGCCACAAGCTACCCAGGACTCAAGCCCAGGCAGCTGGTAAGCAGAAGAGTTGACCCAGAGCAGAACTTGAACGACTTACCCAAGGTTGCCCAGACTGGCGACAGGTCACTGAGAAGGGAAGGCGGCAGGGAGAAGGCAGGACACATGCTGAGTCCTAGAGCCAGGGCCAGCTCCCCGTGAGCAGGGGGGCTGTGAAGAGGGCATGCGGGAGGAGGCGGGCACTGCTGGAACAGCAGCAGGGAGCGGGGAACTTGCAATCCTGTTTGCACTTAGGAGGAGCAGGAGGAGAGGCCGACGAAGGATGGCGGTTCCACTGTGGGTCAGTCAGCCTGGCTGGCTGGGCTGTGCTTAAGGTGGGCTGAGGGGGTGAATAGTGCACTGAGTCCACTGGGCGAGGTTGTGGGCTCTAGGGCCCAGGAACTCTGGAGCCAGCTTCAACCGGGCCTTCCTGGAGCCAACCAGGTAGCTGGGATTGGGGCTGCAGGAAGTTCCCCTCACTTTCTTGCTACCCTTGGTTTGGCCCTGGCTCTCACTCCAAACCCCAAGCTCTGTCTCAGGCTCCATGACGTTGGTGTGGCGTTTGGGTTGGGGGCGAAAAAGGTGCTGGAGTTTCTGAAAGGCCCAAACCCAGAGTGCAAAGTCACTGAAATATGAGCCCATTTCCCACTACCTGTTTGAAGCCACCAAACCCAGGGGAGCCTGTGGACCGTCTCCCCTGCTTTCTAGCCCAACCGGCCCCCTCTGGGGAGGACATAACTTCTTTTTTTTTTTTTTTTTTTTTTTTTTTTTTTTCCGTTTC